AAGAGGTCTAGTGCTAGGGACAATAAGCCCCTCCTTTAACATATCAGGAACCATAATCTCAATCTGTTCTGTCTGGTTATGTGGATACCTGTATGGCCTGACTTTCACTGGTTCAGATCCTTGTAATAGAGGAATAGAATGGTTCTGTGATCTACTAGGAGGCAACCCATAAGGTATAGAAAACACCACCCTATAAGTATGCAACAACACCACTAATTCCGGTTCCATATCAGTAGGTAAATCTAACCATTGGTCTTGAGGACAATCCGACTGTTGAAATTGTAATGTGAATAACTCAGCTATAGCATGTGTGTGATTCATTCTTCTCATATGATTGTACTGAGCTTGCAAAGGTAAGGTTGGTTGCTTGCCATGCAATGTGACAAATTGGTTTCCCAGGTAAAACTTCAATGTAAGGTTGCTATAATCTGAAATGTGGGGACCAAGAGTAGCTAACCATGCAGCCCCCAACACTAAGTCAGCCCCAGTAACAGGTAATAAATACACTGGAAAGGTCAATGAATGGCCCTGAATTCTGACTTCTATGTTCTTGACCAACCTCTCAGCAACTAAGGCATTACCATTTCCCACCAGAACTTGAAAATTTGGAATTGGCTCAATAGGCAACTTCAAACAATGAGCTATTCTTGGTTGTAAAAAACTATCACTCGAGCCACTGTCTAATAACACTTGTACTGTTATTCCATTAACAAAACCTTGGAACTTCATTGTACCCAAACCGGTGGCTCCTTTTAATGCATTATAAGATAAATGATGCTCTTGGGACAGATGTAATTATGTGTTATGCTCAATATCTAGAGGTTCTTGTTGTAATTCTCCACAGTCCTCATCTTGTAATTGGAGAAGCAAATATTGTTTTTTAGGGCACCTATGGCTTGGGAAAAAATTTTCATCACAAGTATAATAAAGGCCTTTTTCTCTCCTAAGTTGCATCTCAACAAAGGTTATTTTCTTAATATTGGTATTTCTTATGGTTTTTGTGGTTGGAGATGTATTAGGATTAGGAAGGAGGGGTGGTAAGCTAGTGGATTTAATGGCTTGGCTTATAGGTAGGCTTGTGTTTGTGGCTTGTGTTTTGGCTGCTAGATAGGCTTGATAGTGTTTGGGTTTGGAAAGGTACTTCTCTTCATATAAACAGATCGAATCAAAGTTGAGGGCGATTAAGCAATCACATCCTTCTAATATCCAGTTTTAAGCCTCCAATAAAACAATCTAACAAAGCTTCAGTGGTGATACCTTGCACACGATTAGCTAGAGCAGTGAAACATAATAATCATGCACAGAATTTGTTTGTGTTAGCTTAAACAAATGCGAACGGGGACACTCATATGGAGAAGGACCAAACTCCAATTCTAAGGCTCGAGTAAACGCAACCCATGAATGAAATGAATCATGACGAGTCATCATCTGATACCAAGGTACCACTTCCTTGTCTAAATGTATGGCAACAATAGTTAATCTATGATCATCAGGAGTATTATAATACAAAAAAAATTGCTTGGCCTTGAAGATCCACTGCAATACATTGGATCCATCAAAGTAAGGAAAATCCAGCTTGACATTACGCACCTGAAACGGTTGGGAAGGGTTCGCAGACTTTTGTTGCAGCAATGTATCAACGACAGACTCCAGGGTCTCAATTCTAGTGGCATTTTCTTTATCCCGTGTCTCCATTAATTCCTGGATTCGCTTAACATCAGCATTGAGTTCTTTAAGGCGAGTATTCTCTGCCATGTGGATGAAAGCACCAATGTAACAAAGTAATTAACAAACAAATGCACCAGAAATTGGAATGAGAAAACACTGCTCTGAATGATATTAAAGGAAACTCAGAAAACGAGTAATTATGAGCCACAGTCCGTAGCTTTACAAAGAAAAATTACATAAGAAGAAACAAACATGGCACCAGCAGAAAAGAAATGCAGAGAGAAGAAAATAGAATCCATCCTTCCTCCTCTCTCTCCTTAACAAACAAAATATATATACTAGACCCTAGACCAATCAAAATCTTGCAGCCTAGAGTTAGTTATTCTGCTTCTTGTGCCCCTCCTCACTTCCTGATTCTTGCAATCTGCTGCCAGGTGTCCTTGCTGAGCTGTATCTTCAATTGACTCTTCTGTCCCTGCTACACTTGTTACACACACATTCTCATGCTTTGAAACGTATATCCAACCACACCCACGTCAACTTCAAAGAGAAGAATCATAAGAAATTCGTAGGTAACGTTAACGAATTGAAGTATTATGCTACTCAAAAAGAAGAAAGGACAAACATTGGATGATACACGTTTTATGGTTTTATGGTGCATTTAGAAACAATTTGAGTTGAACTCAACTAAATTGAAAAAACAAAAAAAAAAGTTACACACTTTTGTGTTTTCTACTTTAAAACATATATTTTTTCATTAAAAGTATTTTTAAACTGATATATCTAAATATGTGTGTTCCTTCCATAATTAAGATATTGATCTAGAATATATAATAAATTATATTGAAAATGAAATAATTTGTCTTTTATAAATATCATAGTTATCTTATAGAGAGAGGGGGTTGACAAATATTTTGTTCAAAATTAATTGAAATTCTCTTCGAAAATCACTACTAGAAAAGTGTTATTTTTTTGCAAATTTTCTTGCAAAAAAATATTTGCAGAAAATTTTTGCGAATTTTCCTGCAAAAAAATATTTGCAGAAAATTTTTTGCGAATTTTCCTACAAAAAAATATTCGCAGAAATTTTTTGCGAATTTTCCTACAAAAAATAATTTACAGATATTTCTTACAAATTTTGCTACAATTTTAATAATCATGGAAAAAAAAATTTCATGGTAAAAATTTGCAGAAAATATTGTAAGAATTTTATTTTGTTTCTTGCATATTTTCTTGCAAAAATAAATTTGCAAGTAATGTTTACTAAATGGTAGAAAAATTTTGCAGGTAACTTTTCCTGCGGATTTTCTTGCAAATTTTAATTCGCAGGAAAAATAAAAAATATATTTAAATTAATAAGATTAATATTTTAAAAAATCTTCAAGTCCCACATCGATTGAAAATAAAACAATTAAAGAGTATATAAGTTGGAATAACACTTACCTTACAAGTAGAATTGTATGGTTGAGTGTTAGACTTGTAATCTACAATCTTAGAATTTAAAAGATTATGTATGAGGCATGAAAATAAAAGATTATGAATTCTTAAAATATAGAATTTATAATAAATTTTTTTAATTTTTTCGTAAAAAATATTCCTGCAGAATTTCTTGCGAAAAAATTCGCAGGAAAGTTTCTTGCGAATTTTCCTGCGAATTTTTTTTTGCAGGAAAATTTCCTGCAAATTTTTTTTTGCAGGAAACTTTCCTGCGAATTTTTTTCGCAGGAAATTTCGCAGGAAAATTTCCTGCGAATTTTAAAATTCGCAAAAATATATTATCCACGAAGGTATTACCTGCGAATAAAATTTCGCAGAAAAATTTACAGGAACAACGTTTCCTGCAAATTTTTATAAAAAATTCGCAGGAAAAGTTGCATGTAATAAGAGAAATTCTAGTAGTGGGCGATTAGTTTTATAAATGTTTCCTAGTTCCAAGTAATGAGGATGAAGTCCATGCATGCATTATGCATCACATCGCATGGGGATCTCATAAACAAAGTTATGATTAAAGGGAAAGCAACAAAAGCATGAGTAAGAAAAGCGATAGCATTAGTTGTTGGTGGGGATAAGGGTGCTATGAACATTGCTGGTCGCGAGGGACCATAACTTTAGGGGCACTATGTAATCAAATTGGTTCTTATCAATTATAACACATGGTTTGGTAAATAACGTTAAGCAAAAATTTAACGTTAACCAAAAGTGCGACTTTTGCGGTCAATTAGCAAATAAAGGGTTCCCTCAAAATCTCACCTTGCCAATCAAGTCTTTCCACATTCATAACTTCCGACAACTTAAAAAGAAAGTTGTCAAGAACTAATTGATAATTTGAAGTAGAACACTGGTTTTTTTCCTCCACGTATTGAATGCTTTAGCGTAATAAAGTATGTGAAATTATTGCATAGAGTTGTGACTGATTAGTCTAATTAGCATCACAAGTTATTTGATGCATGGTGGGAGTCACTATCATATAAGTAATGGCTTCCCCAATTAATGCCAAATGTACTAGTATTAGCTCAGATAGAATGTCAACAGAAGAACTTAAAGTTACAGCAAAAACCAAATGCCCTGTGGTACTGACACATGAATCAAGATAGAATACTGGTCCATAATCATTTATTTTAGAATTTGATAAAATCATTTTATAAAATTTAATTAAAATCATTAAACGTGTTTAAAATATATATATCTCTAATATCATAACCACAAATTTTATCTAAAAATGTGATAGAATTAATTTCGACATAGTTAACTTTAAATCACGAGACGTGAATAAGATGTATTTCTAAGTTAATCTTCACCGTAAAATTATTTATAACAAAGACGTGTATCACACAATTTGGGAAATTAATTCTTGAAATAACCCAAACAAACTTTACCCTTTTAAAAATTCAACTCCAAGAATAGGATGAAGAATTATAAAAATTGCAGAGTAAAAACATCAACAATGGAGATTATAATTGAGTTAAATAAATTATATAATATCGTTACCTTTCCAATTAATGAATGTCTTCTTATTTTCGATTGCTACATCAACCACATCCTGCTAAATTGTTACATCAACCACATCGATGAAAGATCACCATTTTTGGAATCTTCCTAAGTGATTGATCAGGATTATATATGGGATGCAAGAATTAGCGAAAGCTTTGTGGCCTAGTTTGGTTTGCCAGCTTAGCTGGATAAGGTTCGCATAAGTACTAAAAGCATATCATACACTATCTGAATGAAATTCCCCATAATTGAGTTCTTTATTGTTGCCTAGTGCTTATCAAAGAATGTTTTGCGTATTGACATGGGAAAGTGGATTAAGTAACACACGCAAGGAGAGGCAATGATAAAAGTTTTCTTAAAGATTTTTCTTTTTTGATACTATTAAATAAGATAATAATTACAGATAAATAGAAGAGAAAGGTGAAAATAGAGAAAAAGGGTAGCGAGGGGGGCACAAGCAATAGAACACATCCAGCAAAAGTAAAAAATTACAAGATCAATGTCTGCTCTGGATGGACAAGCCAAATTCTGGTTACTTGATTCACATGTTAAGGGGTTGTTGTCTGTTTTCTCCATTGTTATAAGTTTTGGTGGACTTATTAGACTTTCTTTTCAACACAACAATCCATGTGATCACTTCCAAGACTACGGCAAGTGCACCCAGTGCAATAAGCACTGCACTGTAAGTTGATTTCCATTTCTTCTCTGGATTCAAGATGTTAAAGCCCAGGAATATGTTGACGATTCCCAGGATAATCACACTGTATCCAATGCCATGGTGATAGATATTCCAGATGTACCTATACTTGTGCTCCTTCACTGGCCTTAGGAACAATGCAAAAATCTGCATATTCCATACAAGGAAGGATAAATACAACAGTTACAAACATCATTAAAAATCATCATAAGTACTAATCAAAAGTAATTATTATAAAAATCATGATATATAACATAATTGAAGAATATTGACATGTTTTTATTACCTGTAGAGTGGCGAAACAAAAGAGGGTAATTCCAATGTTGCGATGATTACTGTATTGAATTCCCACTGATTCACTTCCAAGTTTCAAGCCAGTGGCCCAGCCAGCAACACCAATGGCGTAAGCAGAAACCTGGCAACCAGCATGAAGATAGAACCAAATTGGATCTGCAGATGGAAAAGTTCTCAAGTATCTTGCTATGATCACTCCAAGGGGAAACAGCACGCCCCAACTCACAGCATTTAGAATTCCGTGAATCTGCCATTCAATCAACAAGTTAAAATAACTCAAGATCAGTTGAATCAACTAGCTATTTCAATTTTCCTCCGCAAGAAGAACATGTTCGGCAAAGGCCAAAGCCTTCCTAGCTAGAGTACTTAACCATCCAATTTAATTGACTTATAGTTGAAGCCTTCTTCAGACTTTGCTCAAAAAAATTCTCAATTCATCCGATAAGTTAAATCAGATACAACAAAATAATGTCTCCAACACCCAAAAAAAAATAAAAGGAAAGTCAACAAACAAGCTCACTTTTGAATTGAAAATGCAAACAAATCTAAGAAACCAGGGTCGATAGAAAAAAATAAAATAAAAAATTCCCCCGAAATCACCAAAACCCAGTCAAAACCATATCCGAAATCACCAAAACCAATTGAAAAAAAAAACATTTTTACTCTCCGAAATCTCAAAAACCAATAAAAAAAATCATTTTTTTTTGTCTGAAATATCATAAACGAATCAAAAACTAAAAGCCACACTCTCTCAACAAAACCAAAAAAAAAAAAAAAAAAAAAAAAAAACCCACACCCCAGTTTTGCGAATTCTCAGAAACTCAGAAGTTAAACAAAACAAAACGGCAGATTCTCAAACCAAAGGAAAACACCCAATTCCCGAGGGACAAAACTTAAGAATTTCACGTCAAAATTCAACTAAAGTCAGCCAAAATAAAGCTTCGATTTTCCCCCAAGAAATTGCGTCCAAGCTTTCTCCGTTTTTTTTCAAAACCACAAAACCCAGTTAAAAAAAAAAAAAAAAAAAAAAAAACTCACATTCTTCTTGGTGGTAACGGCGTCGACTTTGGCAGTAGCAGTCTGCTTCCCATTGAGGCTAAGCGTCCCCTTGGAATTCAAATTGGCAGGAGCAAAGTCATGCTTATCCAACCTCCCCGCCGTAACGGAGGGCCCCACCTGCCACACGTGGTTCACGCTCTCCCCTTTAACCTTAACATTCGCGAAAATCCTAATAACGCCGCCAACCTCTTCCCCTCGGACGCCCCAAACCTCCACCGACAGCTTCCCAGGAACAATCACACTATACGACTTCAAGTCCAGCGTTTTCACCGTCACCGCGCCGCCGCTCTTACTGTACGCCGCCAGCACCTGCGCCCCCGCCATGCCCGTCCCCGTCGGGTTTATGCCCCACGACACCCACCCGCCGGGGCTGGGCGGCGCCGCCAGGAAGGCCACCGCCAGGGAGGCGTTGGCCGCGTCGTGCGTCCAGTGGAGGAAGGAATCCAGCGCCGGCAGGTCCACGCAGTTGGCGTAGACCCTGTTGGCCGCGTCCGTGACCTTCTGCGTGGTGCACGTGAGGGAGGACGCCGCCGTGAAGATGAAAGGAAAAAGGACGAGGAGTGAAAGCGGTGATGCCATTGGTTGTTGTTGTTGTTGCTGTTGTTGTGTTGTGAAGAGAATGAAGAGAGAGTGGGTTTTAGAGAAGAAAAGATGGGAAGTGGTTTTTGTTTTGTTTTTAATGAGTTGGTGGAGTTATTAACGCGAGGTTGGGAATTAAGGGGAAGCCTATGGAATGGTGGAACTGTTATATGTTAAATACAGAGAAGGAGACACTACACAACAACAACACCCTAGCTGTAGTTTTTTCTAGAGCGAAAAATCTTAGGTAATGTTATTAACTTGTCATCATTACCTTCTTTCACTAAAATTGGAATTTTACCCTTAGATAATTAAATATTAATGAGATTAAATAGAATGATAATCAAGAAATTCAACACAAGTGATTATAATATGTGGTGTTGAACTTGAGATGAAAATATATAGGCGATATTTAAGTTCCATCCTAAAAAAAATTAACTTTTAATTATATTTTACTTAATTTTTGATCACAGATATAGACTTATAATACTAATAAAAAAAACTAATATATATATATATATATATTAGCAATGACATATAAAAAAATAACTTAATTTTATCTTCTTCTAGTGCATAATTATTTCATTTAGCCTCTGTTTGTTTCTGCTGATTTACTGTTCATGACGAACGAAAAGCGAAGATAGTAAACGTTTGTTTCTGCTGATTTGCAAGGAAAGAAAGGTGAAGAAAAGCGAGAGAACCCGCGTTACCGTCCTCGCGCTTTTGCGAAGAAAAGAAATGAAAGTCACGTAAGATTTGAAAAAACCCGATAATACCCCTCTCCCAAAGGCCGAAAAGAGATGAAGAATGGAGACAATTATGCATGACACATAATGGATTATGCGCTGACATAATCGATTATGTTGAGGCATAATCGATTATGGGCTGGCATAATCGATTATGGGCTGGCATAATCGATTATGCCAGCCCATAATTGATTATGTGTCATACATAATCAATTATGGTGGCATATTTTCGCAAATTTGCGAACTCAGAACGAGCCGTTCCAACACTAGATTTTATGAGCAATATGCGAACTCAGAATTGGTCGTTCCACTTTGGGAACGGGCCGTTCCACTTTTGGAACGGGCCGTTTCACACATGGCCGTTGTGGGTTAATTTGTAATCCTAGAACGGGCCGTTCTGGTCTGAGAACGGGCCGTTCTAGATATGAAATTTTTAAATATTTTTTATTTAGTTGTAACATTTTTCATTTCTATTATTTTATGTGATATTTAATTATTCTTTACTTAATTGATGACTGAATTGTATTTTTTATTCCATTTTACAAATATATTATTACTCATCTACTTTGTAATGTTAAAAATTTCTTAATTTTTTAATTGATAAAAATTAACTTGTACAATTAAAAAATGTATCTTCGTTTCATTATAATTTATGTCAATAATTTATCAATTTTTTAATTTATTAATTAACTTTCAAAAATTTTATTGTACATTTTTTTATATTAAGAAAATTCTATTATTTAAATATTGACATCAAAAAGTGGAAATATAAAAAAATAAAGTAATACATGTTTATAAAATTAAAATAATAACACTTTCATAAACATTAATAAAATAATGTTAGAAAATATAATTATTATAATATATTTTGTTATTATTATTTATTATTATAAATATTATTATTATTATCATTATTATTAATATTATTATTATTTATTATAATTAGTATCATTATTATTTATTATGATTCTTATTATTTTTCTAATATTTATTATTATTATTATTAT